ATTTTTATTCAAGATATTTATCTTATTACAATAGAAAAGAGCTTTTTTAAAATTCGAAAAAAAGTGCTAAAGTTTATATATAAGGCAAAAAGATGAAACTGAGTGACTCTTTAAAAAAAAAACAATTCAAATTGAATTTCGATTAATTTAAATAAAATGAAAATCAACCAATATATTTACAATCTTTACACATTTAGTACAGGGTTATTAGTATATTAATTGTAGTTTATTGTTTCAAATTTGTTTTTTAACAATTATTATATCGATTTTTGTTTTTGTTTTGTTATATAGGTGCCCCAAGAAGACCTAACGGTCTTGTCAGAGAGCACCGCGGAAATGCATTTAACCAGGAAGTTAACGCCTCCTTTCTTAACGTGACGCAAAAATATGTCCACAGCTCGTTTCAAACCTGGATCTCTTGCTTATGAAGCAAGCGCTGTAACCACTGCGCCACTAATGCTTCAAAGCAAAATTTGATCAGTTACCATTATAATTACCACAGCGCATCATTTTCTGTTCAATCATATATGAGCTAGCATTGCTAACTGTTCATGTGCTTACGGAATACGCCTGTTTCCGTCTAATTCTACTACAAATAAATTCTATTTTTTTCCAAAAAATAGTTTATAAATAACTATAGTAATAGAATTTAAAACTTAAATTACTTTTTTTTATGTCCATTTTTATTCCGAATACAAAAGTTAAAATCTCAAATACAAAAACTAAGCAGATTTCATATTGTCAGTTATAAAATATTTTCTATTTATTGTAAAAAAGAAAGAAAAAAAAAACGGTTCGTCTGGCGTCCATTCAAGCTTGGCATTCAAATTTTATTAGACAAGCAACTGCAAGCAGCAAAGTTACAGTAAAAGGATACCAGTTAGTTGAATGACAAGTTATGTTTTGGTTGATGAAAAAAGAGATACAATCTTGTACAATAACAACTTTATTAATCATAGCACAATAAATAACTTTATTGTGACATCTATGATAAAATTGAGAAATCTAAAAGACGACCTAAAAAAGATGACATATTAGATGTTTTTTTTCAGACTTTTAAAAATAGTATTTCAACGAAACACGCAATTATTTAATTTGTAAGGAAAATCTCCTGATCGTTAAAATAAAATTCTCTTTATTAAAGGCGTTTTTGTTGAAATTTTGATAATATCTTGCTTCAAAAACTTAAAAAGTACTGAAACAAAATCTGTTAAAATGGTATCAAAATTACTTAACAAAACGAAAGCAATACGTTCTGTAAAATGATGGATGCTCTAATGAAATGACTAAAATAATATGTGGCATTTCACATGGTTCTATTTTAGGACCCTTTTATTTTAATCTATCTAAATGACCTTAACAAGACGTCGGAACTATGTAGTATTATTTTTGCCGATGATACAAATTTATACTTATCGAATGCTAACGTTGATGAACTATTTCCAATTAACAAAGAACTTAAACAAATAGAACTGGTTTAAATGTAATAAATTAACCGCGAACGTTGGCAAAACCATGTATATTCTGTTTCACCTAACAAACAAGATTCCTTATGTAGACAACAAGTCTGTTGATGAATTTATATCATCACCAAATTCAACAATAAGTTTTTCAAATCTAACTTATAATGAATTCGAAATTGCATTTAAATCATTAAAAAGGAATAAAGCAATAGGGCCTGATGATATAAATGGAAATATTGTAATCGACTCTTTTAATGAGATTAAAGATATCCTCTTCAAAGTCTTCAAAGCATCTATTACTCAAGGATTGTTTCCAAATAGTTTGAAAATAACCAAAGTAACTCCAATCTTTTAAACAGGTGACCATACCAACATAACAAACTATCGTCCTATCTCAGTTCTACCTGTCTTTTCAAAAATATTAGAAAGAATAATGTATAATAGAATTTACACTTATCTTATTGATAATAAACTCCTTTATAAAAATCAATTTGGTTTTCAGAGAAACAGTTCTACTGAACACGCTATTCTCCAAGTAACACGCAGTATTGCCGATTTATTTAAGAATTCTCAATTCACACTAGACATATTCATTGACTTGTCAAAAGCTTTTGATACTGTTAATCATCATATTTTAAAAAAAAGCTAGAGAGCTATGGTATAAAAGATAAAACCCTAAATTGGTTCAAAAGCTATCTAAGTAACCGCAAACAATTTGTTTATAACAAAGAATCTTCATCGCAAATAATAAAAAATATAACATGCGGTGTCCCCCAAGGGTCCTTACTTGGACCACTATTATTTCTATTATACATAAATGATCTTTACAAAGCTTTTACCCTAACGACCGTAAATTTTGCAGATGATACGAATTTATTTCAGTCGCACGAAAACATAGAAATACTTTTTAATAATATGAATAATGAATTAAAAAGAATATCATATTGGTTTAAAAAAATAAATTGTCCTTGAATACGGATAAAACAAAGTTTATACTTTTTCACCCAACCTCTAAAAAAAAGTGAATCCAAAATATCTTACCTGACCTATTCATTGACAATACAATCATAAAAAGAGAAAAATTTACAAAATTTTTAGGAGTCATAATAGATGAAAACTTATCTTGGAGTCAGCAATTTGATAGTATTTCAATGAAAGTTGCTAAAAACATTGGAGTTCTATACAAGGCTCGATATATACTAAATAAAAATCAACTAACTCAACTATATTATTCATTTATTCATTGCCATATAAACTATGCCAATATTATATGGGGAAGCGCTCACAAAACCAAACTTAAATCTCTCTATCGTCATCAGAAACACGCAGCTCGCATAATTAATTTTGGAAATCGTTTTTCAAGCTCAACACCACTTCTTATAGAAATGAAAGCTTTAAATATATACGAACTAAATATTTTTAATATTTTATGTTTTATGTTTAAATGTAAAGAAAATTTATCTCCAAGTGTATTTATAAATCTCTATAACTTGAAACCAAAAAACAAATATGAACTTCGTGATAGTAAAAATATTCAAGAGCCGTTTTGAAAAACAAAAATTGACCAGTTTTGTATTTCTTATCGTGGTCCATTTCTTTGGAATAAAATAGTTTTACTTAACTTTTATTTTTCTTTTAAATGGTCTTATTCCTCCTTTAAAAAGAAAACAAAAGAAATAATCTTTTCACACAAAATATATTTATTTATTTTTAGTACTTCAAGTTATTTGATATTTTTGTCGACTGTGTGATGAATATTATTTAAACAATATATGCTGAATACTTTATATTATAATATTGTTCAATATTGAGAATGTTATATATCCATATTATAAAATATTATGTTAAAACTTGCTTAACATCTGAAGAATATTCTAACGCTTATGTAATTTTTAATATTTGTAAATTTTCTACCTTTTAATTCGTTATATAGATTGTAAAGGGCTTCATGATAAGATCATGTGATCTTCTGGAAGTCCTACCAGCAATATATTCAATGTAAATTTACCTTGTTCATATTTTTCTGGAAAAAAAAGAAAAAAAAAAATGTCAAAAATCTTCTTTAATGTATGTATACACAAAGTTGAAATAAACGAAGAATCGTTTACAAAGTTTTTAGGAGTTTATTTTGATAAAAATGTAACATGGAAACAACATATTACTTATTTAAAAGCAGAAAAAAACCGTGGACCTTATTTGTGGAACAAAATAGTTTTGCCTCTTAATGTGTCAATATCATTACCCGTTTTAAAAAAAAACTAAAAGAATTCATTCTTTCATTAGATAAAATACTTATATATATTTAGAAGTATATATTATTACTTTAGATATTATAGCAATAATAATAAAAATAATAATAATAGCCATAATAATAATAATAATAATAATAATAATAATAATAATAATAAACATATAAATATTTACTAAAAAAGTCCTAAAATCACCTGTTCTTTGTAACAATACCTGATGGTCTTATTGGATCTGCGTTTTTTATACTTTATTTTTTTATTTTTTATATTTTAACAACTCCTTCTCTAGTAATTTCTTTTATTTATTTGTATCTTTTTCTTTTATATTGTAATAAAGTTGACAATGTTGGGACATTATTATTCAAAACTTTCGGAAATAAAAATGAGATATCTAAAAGACGTCTTAAAGATAATCACACATTATTTAAAGAAGATCACATATTATTGTCTATTTTTCGATATTTGTTAGGCGCAGATGAGAAGTCTGATTTATATGCAAATTCATGAGACAATATAAAATGAAAATAAGGCATCTAAAAACGCTTAATGACAATCAGAATGTAATTTTTTATACATTTTTTTGCATTTAATTTAAAAGAGTTTTATTAAAAAAAAAAAAGCAGTAAAATGCATCTAAACGGATTCTGACTATTAATACCGTATTGATAGTCAGAAAAATATTTTTAAAACAAGTCTAATATTTTATTACAAATAAAATATTAAAAGTTTGTTAATAAAAAACTAAAAAGCCTCCCTAACAATAGTGTGATTTTTCCTAGTCATAAAATACATGTTATTATGTTACATACATGTTACTTCTGTTATTATGACTATGGATAATTGAGAAACTATTAAAGGGGTCAGAGGTTGTGTTAATTTTTTCCCGTCAAAATAACAACAAATATAATTTTGGACAACCAAAAATGATATTTTATCTTCTATAATACACTACTATTATAAAATGTAAAAGTTTTATCTTCTATAATATGTTTTTTTACTAAATTCTGGTGTTTTATTTCTTGTTTAGATTTTAGATTCAAATTATTAAAATTATGTTTAGATTATAATCACATGAAGTTTACTTTAAAGAAGAGTATAAATCCAAATTAAAACTATAGTTTTCATCGTGTTTTCTTCACAAACTTCAATCATTGGCGACCGTGCTAATGAAAACTTTTTTATAAATCGAAAAACTTGCGTTTTTGCATGCTTTACCTTGCTGTTTGTTTTTTTTTAACAGGAACCACAATGCTTTTCGGTAATTTTTCGTAGATCGGTTAAATTTTCAAAACTTTACTGAGCTACCCAGATGTCAAAAGCTTGCTCATAAGCGTAGAAAAGTTGTCTCTGGCCGCGCATGTTTAATAATGGCAGTGAGACTTTTTACTTCAACATTAAAACGTTCAGGACTGTTAGTCAAAGTTGCTCGTCTTTCCACGTCTTCATTGAAATACTCAAATGGTAAGAAACACACGAATGTTTTTGCTTATTTGCTTCATTATCATTGTGCAAAGACTTAAAAATATTGCCTTAATAAATTGTTGTATATTGGTCAGTTGTTATGATGCAATAATTATACAATATTTAATATTATACGATATGGTTATAAAATATCAAGAGCTGTATTACTGTTAATTGTCAATAAGGTATCCAAAAATTCCAAATTTTTCTGTTTCTTTACCTTTTAAAATTTTTTCTTAAAATCTACTCATATCATTTGTACTATTATTTCTTTCCTCCTTTTTAGATAATTTCAAAAATTCTTCTTAAAGTTTTCTATTGTATTTATGAATTGTATCTAATGTTTAAAATGATCTATTTTCAATTTAGGTTTATTTTAATTTTAAAACAATTTAACAAAACATAGTTTATTAATATTAAAAACAATATTGAACTTTCCCAGAGGTACTGCAATTCCGATATTAGTATGCTAAAATAATATTTATTATGCTGAAATAATATTTAAAAAATAAAAACTGAATGCAAAAATGTAACTTTTATAAAGAAATTTGCAAAAATTATCTCAAATAAAATAAAAACAATTTAATTTTTTACAAAATGTTAGTGAAAAATATTCAACATGTTTGAAATATTCAATATTAATGAAAAATATTCAATATGTTATGAGTTTGAAAATGTAATGTAATGAGTTTGAAAAAAAAATTCAAGGTTTTAAAGATGCAATATATTTTGATTATATTCTATAGTTAATAATATTGTTGCCATTTTTTTTGTACTACTTTAATTTCAGCCTTTTCAATTTTTACCAGAATTAGAAAACGATAATGGTTTAATATATTTGAGAGACTTGCTTTTGCCTCACCTTTCCGTTTGATTTCAGTCCTCAAGTTGTTTTCATAAACTACACTAATTATCATCATAGACTACTGCTAAAAAATTTCTTTGAGTACGATTAACATAGGTTTAAAATCAAGTTTTCTAAAACTATGCAAGAAGCCTTACTTTATCTATGCAATCTTTACACTGTGTAAGTGTGCATCCTTTTTTTTCAGCCAAGTGAACATTAATGTAAATTCTTTTTTTCACCAAACTTTGATGTGTCCACTAGCAATTTTGTAAATTTTAATGTTAATGACAAACATAGGCAGAATGTTTATGTTTGTCTTAAACTGAAAATCACAGTTTTGAGTTGGTTATTGAATATCTTTAAATTACACAAAAAAATTTTTTTTAAATAAATGTTCTTTTAGAAAAAGTCACTGAAGTTATAGAATGATTTAACAGAATCTATTATATTTTTTAAAAAAATTAACCTACAAAAGAGAAATAATTTACATTTTGTTTTTATTTAACTTTCCTTGGCTGGTATTCTGTTTAAAAAAAGTTTTTAGGATATACTTTTTTACTAACTTTAGTTGTGTGTGTGAGAGAGAGAAGTGTGTGTGTGTGTGTGTTAGCAGGGTCAGATTTACCTTTAGGCTTAATAGGCTATAGCTTAGGGCGGCAGTTTTCTGTGAACCAGGTGACAATCTGTTATATCAATGTTAATTCAAAGCATCTTCCAAATATTCTTAAATCTATTCCTACAATAATATCTAACCATATATGTAGTATTTTCTCAAGTAAAGAAGTATTTAATCAAGCTGCTCCTTTTTATAATAGTGTCCTTAATATTCCTTTTCATGTCTTGTAACGATTTTGAGACTTAAAAGTGACAATTAAAAATTACTTTAGTTCAAAATGTCAGAAGATAGATTTTGACAAAAAAGCTTTAGCTATTTTGTCGATTGAATTTGATATTATTGAATCAATATCATATGATGATACTATTCAAACTTTTGCAGAAAGGTTTTATCAAGTCTTGGAATTTGTTTCATTGTAATTTTTTTTATAATGATATTTATTCTGTTTGTTTATTATATGTTTATTAATTGTTATATTGTAATTTTTTCAATAAAAATACAGAGTTAAGAAAGCAGTGTTGATTCCTGTCTTGGCTGGGATATTTTTTATAGCCTATAGGCAGCAAAATTGTAAATCTGCCTCAGTGTGTTAGAGAGAAGCTAAACTGTGTTATTGATATAAGAAAAATTTCAGAGTTTTGTTTGATCTCTGAATTATCTCTTATATTTAAAGTCAAAGTTTTTACCCTTTAATTTTTAATTGTACATTCTTTTAAAAGAGCATTGATTTGGCATTTATATGTTTGTATATATATCTTTAAAACTTCTCAGCACAAAATGTGAAAATACTTTTATAAATAAGACAATTTTTTAACGCACAATCTAAAGTCAAAAAGCATTTATCACTATAATTAGTAAAACCTTTTTCTTTTAAGTGAAGATGCTTATAAATAAGAGAGTTTTTATCCCTTTTGTAGTTTTCAATCCTTTATGTTTTTAAGTGGCAAGAGGTTTTGCCAATATAACATGATTTACATCCTGCACAAACAAATTTTTGTTTTATTTTACAATTATGTACTATATTTTATACTGTTTTTAACAAATATATTTTAACTGATGATGACTATATATAGTGAAAACATGTCTTAAATTTAAATAATAAATGTTTTTTAATAAAATTTTAAATCTATTTTTAAAAGTATTTTCACTTTTTGTGCTAAAAAGAAGTTTTGGAGATTTCTTCCCAGAAAGAGTGTGCGGTCTTACGTTTTGTTCGTCCATGTTTGAAGTAATTTTTTTTTAAACACACTGACTGCGGTAGTTTGTATTTTTTAAATTACAAAGCCTTTCTATTCACAGCTGTGTATACTAGACCAATGAAAAAAAATTTTAATTTTTTTTTCTTATGTTCATTTATTTTGACATTTTTTTGCATTTATAAAATGTTTTTGCTATATTTTTAATTTTTTCTCAATACTTATATAATAGGAAAAAAAGAAAATAAATTGCTATTTATTTGTAAAACATATTAATTTATAAATAAATTTTGTAATGACGGAATAAATTAAATAAAAAATAACATGGTTTCTTATAGAAATGTATATATGAATTAAATAAATGTCTTACTGTATTTGATACTTGTCTAAAATTTTATGTTATAAGTTGTTGCATGTAATTCATGGTGCCTTTAAAACAACTATCTAAAAGGGTTTTTCATGATAGCCCGGCTATGCGTCAAGATTATGAAACAGTCACAGATGCAACAAAATACTTTAAAATAATTATTTTTTGTAACAGAGTAGGATAAAAGCAATTTCACTTTGAAATCTGGCCCAATATGCATTTTACAGGCAATTATAAACAATATTTGCAATAAAGGCATTGAAATCTGGTTCAATATATGCAAGTTGGTTGGGTTTTGGGAAAAGTTAAAGCAACCCAAGTTAAAAATTTTTATAGTTGTCAAAAAAGGTATTAAAGGCAAATGTATTCTTTTAATATTTGAAGTTTGTTGCCAGCATATTAGAACCATATTTATTGGCATACTAAACTGACAAGCCAATGATTCTATTCATGTATAGTGAAAGACTGTTATGTACTATACTGAGTTTGTTTTTGAAACACTAAGTTAAAAATAATTGCAAAGGGCAAATTGAAAAATCCGTAAAAAATTCTTAGTTTACTTTAAATTTTTAGTTTCTTGGCTAAAATTTGTAAAACTGTTATGAATGGTCCGAAAAAAACGCGCATAAATAGTTTTCAAGAAAAACAATATTTGAAGACCAGAAACTTTTACGGAATTTTAAATTCGCCATCATTTAATTCGCCCCTTGAATTGGTCTATAACAGAAGTTGACTCATAAAAAAGATAATTATCTTAAGGGAAATTAAAACTAGGATTTGAAGCTGAAACAAGACTAGATTCTTTACAAAAAAAAATGTTGCATTTTTTTAAACTAGTTGTTATCTTAATTTTTACATTTTCAGTTGATATTTCAACATTTAAAGTGTTGTTTTTTTTTTAATTCCGCCATTAAAAAATTGTTCAAAGATTTTTTATTTATTTACATAAAATTTCATATTTTAGCCTTTGTTGAATTATTTTAATAAGAAAAATATTTGAAAAAAAAGTGAAATTTTAAACCAAATTTTTGTATACTAACCAGAATTGGTAACCAGGTTAATAATATATATATATTTTTTTAATATTATAGGAATATTAATATTAATATTTATGGCCAAGGTTTTACAGCTATTCAGATGTGATAAAATGATTAACTTAAAACAATTTCTTGACCATAATCCTCATTGGTTGACACAGTGCTCGTGATTTATTTTAAATTAAATATAAAGAAAATTTTTTTTTTAGTAGACAGCTTTTAGTGGTATTGTTTTTCTCAAAAATAAACAAAAAAATGGAATATTTTTTTCAGCCGACCCAAATATTCAGGGATTTGTAGAGTCCTCAATACTAAACAGTTTAAAATAAAAATATGTAATTTTGTTAAATATGTGAGATTGTGTGCATTTCTTAATTTGACGTCGTACTCTAGAATATGTAAGTCAAAAAGAAGGGTTCAACAAAATTCGTAATTTCAATATTTTCTCACTGATTATAGAAATGCAATAAATCGCTTTCGTTTTCTCATTAATTTATTAAATTTAACTACCGGAAATAGAAATTAATAAACTTATTGATTTTCTGATTATTCTCTGATAACCTTACTGATTCTGTTGTGCTTTTTTAGATCGAATTCCTACAGATCTTGAAATAGCAACTGGTACTGAGAGAAAAGAAATAGAAGCCATTCTAGCAGGAAACCCTGTAAGCATCTTTCAAACAAGGCTAGTTTTATTAAGAGTTAATTGAGTTTAAATGCTTTAATATATGTAATAATCTTTAGGATGTAATTTTAGGATCCATTTAATATGCACACTATAAATAAAGGGCCCCCCGGAACTCGTGAAGCTCCTACTTTAGTTCCCTCAATGTGTGACGAGAGAATTATCGGTTGTATTTGTAAGTAAATCGCGTGTATTTTGTTTTTTTATTCTTTATTATGTAAAACCTATACTTAGATTGTTACGAATGACGTTTATCTTTAGGTGACGAAGAATCCACCTCAGTATCTTGGATGGTCTTAAAAAAGGGTCCAGTACAGCGTTGTCATTGTGGAAAGTTTTTCCAATTAGTTCACGGAAAAACTAATGCATTGGAAGATTAAGTTCAATATAATAGCAAAAAAGCAATATGTTATTCCCTTAGTTTCTATTATGTCAATTTTATTTACATAAAATGTACAGGATATCACAAATTAAATTTTGACTTGAGTCAGTTTATATATAGTTCATCATTCGGTGTATACTTGATTTGATTGATTTTGATTCACGTCAACAAGTCAGCTTCTAAAAAATGCTTTTTAATAAGATTATTATTCGAAATAATTTTTGGAAAATTATAATGATGCCTTGCGAAGAATGTAAACAGCAGGAGGACCTTTGCTAATTAATTAATATATAACGCGATTTTTATGTCTTGCTTTAGATTTTTTGAAATTTTACTATAGATGCGAAGTGTTTTTATTTTTGAAATATTTTATTTTTAAATTCAATGTTTTGGTAGTAGTCAATAACAAGTTAAGTTATTAAAGTGAATGTTTAATGAAAAAAATGTCTTAGTAACGGTCTGCTAAAAATCCTGCCATTTAATCTATAGAAATGTAGAGTCTGTTTTAATTTTTCTTCCAGCCTAAGTGATTATATTTACTGGCGGTCGAGGTGTTACTGTCTCTAATAGTTGTCCTTTAAAAGTAAGTCCTTTGTAATAAAAGGTGTGTTACGTATATGGAGTATTCAAATTACTAGCTTTTTTTAAGTTTAGTTGATAGTTTTTTTGTTTTATTTTTTAACTTCAAAATTATATTGCTAAGTAATAAGATACGGTATACTTTTCAAAGTAATTCGAGGGGAATCTTTAAGTTCATAACAGTTACAAATGCTAGAATGAAAGTAAACTAACGCTTAAAATCGTTTTACCACAAAGCATTAGCTAAAACTTGAATTAGCGCGATTTTGCGTGAGTTTGCCAAAAGAAAAATTAATCTGTTTGGCAAACAAGAGGTCAAATATCAACTCAAACAAAAACGAAATTTGCAGTAACCAACGCTGTTACCAAGAAATTTAAACAACTTATGTGTGCTAGCATTACAAAGACAAGTAATAATTTTACTTGAATCATCTTTGTGCGTGTGATCTGTCACGTAGATATACGTGACATTTGCAACGTAATTTATGTTTAAGTTGTGGCATGGAAGTTCATCGAGCCGCAAACATCAAAGCAATTTCAAGTCATCTCGGCAGTATGATTGTAACCGAGAATTAAAAAATAACAAGTTTCACTGGACAAAATTCACTGAAGTGATTTTTATTAAAACATCAAAATTGAATTATTCTAGGGGTATGCTGCAAAGTATTAACCATTAGTAATTGCAATTATTTAATAATTGCTTAATTTTAGCAAAAGATTTTTTAAAGCTCGGTAATTAAATAGAACTATTTGATTTTAAAAGCATATGTTAGTTTAAGCTTTTTTCTTGCTTCAAATCATAACACGACACCTGATTAAAAAGACAACTAAAACAGTTTTTAAAAAATCGAAAAAATTGTTTTCTTAATAATTAAAGTTTCATTAGTTGTATATTTATAATTCCATTCATTCTTGTAGTACTCCCTTCATATAATATAAAGTTTATAAAAAGTTGTTGTTTGCCGTTTGCTTACGCCATTTTTAATGTTTTTCTTGAATATTATTGGCGAACCATCAAAATACTATATTTTTAAATTATTATAAATGTATCAATTTGCGTCAACGTATAATAGTATAGTAAAATTAGGGTCAGACCTGGACAAAATTTGGATAAAGATAAATTTGGTATCATTCAAAGCGTAATTTTATCTACTTTAATATATTAAAAATCCACCAAAATCCATTTTGGGCAAAAAAAGTTATGAAATTTTAGTTCACCTCATTTTGTGGAAATTTTCTGCAAAAAAAAAAACTGGAGACCCTGCTGGTTAGAAGTTGAAATAACTCATTATACAAATGCCTAACCTTTGTGAAATTTTGTACAAACATAGCTTAATATGTACAAATTATGAAAAATAAAATGTGTTTAAATATATAACTTTTAAAATGCTAATGTCAGCAGTTTTTGTGCAATTTGGGCAAAATATGACATCTTTGACCAAAAAATTGATAAATAAATAGTTGAATTCAAGCCTAAAATAAAACTAACTTGCTTATTAGTTATCTTAAACAAAAAACTAAGGGTTTTAGAATATATTTTATCAAGTTATATATCAATCCACTAAATATACATTAAACTAATTTTGAATAATCATTTGAGCTTAAATATTAGTGCTTTTTACATTCGACTAATATAATTGGAAATAAAATCAAAAGGCAAATGTTTTTTCGAAAATGTTTCCATCTCCATCTTCGCAACTTTCAGATTTATTTTCTCTGTCATCGACATTGATATCGTAATTTTTCGTTGCATTTGTGCACTCCAAGCTTTGGCACTGATTGCAGGCAGTCATACATTTTATTCCATTACGTCGACATTGGCGTTATTCTCCACGTAGTGTTTTTGTATCTGTGCTGCTGTTACATCTTATAATGTTAAGAATGTGAGTTGGTCCTAAATGAAAAAATACTTCAGCTTAAAAATTAATGAAGATTTTTTTTGGGTACTGGGTTACACTCAAGGGATTTTTTTTGGGTACTGGGTTACACTCAAGCTGTTTATTAAAAAATTAATGTATTTAAAAAGTATTCTTTTCTGTTTTGAAAGTAAAATTGCTGTCTAGGTACCTTGTCTGTCTTTATAGGTAGTGATACATTCTTTTCCATTTTTCATACCCGTTTTGTTTCATCCATATTGACACCCAACCATTGCTGAATTTGTGAATATACTCGAAAAGAATGGTACCTGATTGCACTTTTGGTTGGTGGTAATTGTTCTGGTTGAATTCCTTTTTTGGAAATTGCCATCATTCTCATGTATTTTTGTTTCCTTAGTTGTGCCAGCTGGACTTGTTTATTTTTTTTACATATAAAAATAGTTGAGTTAAATTAAACCTTAGCAAAACATATAAAATTTTAATAATAACTATAATAACAATATTAATGATAAAAATAAAGGACTATGATTGGTGTCTTGCATACCATACATATTCAAAACCACTTGCATTCCAACACTAGCTACTTGATCTTGTTTTGCAAAGGAATCTTGGAAGACTTTATATATATTTTGAGCAAACTCACTATTTGATTCAATAAACTTCAGTACAGCTATTTTCCTTTGACCAAAAAACCATACTTTTTTGTAATAAATGTACAATATTGCTCCATGATGTTTGAGTATGTGGCTGGAAGATTCCAAAAAACTCAATGAAGCGAAGCTCCTCCATTGAGAATATAGGTTGCGTAATTATTCACTTTTAAAATTGTGGAAATTCATGAGTTCTCCACCGAGATTTGCTTTGTTAGGTTTTCTCATTAAACCATCTTTGAAGAGAGATGTGGGCTCTGGAGTTAATTCATATTCAAAGCAGTCAGTCAAGTTTTCCCCAGTGAAAAAAAAAAAATTGTCCCACATGGGTTTCATGTGGGATCCCATGAATCCCAGACGAAACCCACATGGAATCTATGTGGGAAAAGCGTTTTTTTTTACTGGGTTGGCCCTGTCAATTAGCATGATTAGCCTTCAAAAAAAAACATTTGGGTCTACGTGGACTGCATCGCCATTAACTTTAATAGCTAGTAGCAACGTGACAAGTGTTTTGACCTGCTTTGAAAGCTTGATAATTGCTTGGTTGGCTGCAATATTATTAAGACTGTTTTAAATTTCTAAACCAACTGTTTCTGCTAGAACACAATTGATTTCATTATCGTTATCAGCACGTAGGCTAGTAAATATACATTGAAGTCTTGAGTCTTGAAATTCAAAAGGATTAAATAGCTCGAGATGTTCCTTTAATGCTTTAAGATCTTTAGTATCTCTTTTTCAACATAATCCACCAGATTTATAATATTGTTGACTGCTCTAAAAACGATGCTTTATAAGTGTTGACATTGATTCATGGATTGCTCCGCATTCCTGCAAGGTAATAACCCAAATATTCTTTGTAGTTTTGGACATACCTCTTCCTCTAGTTAAGTTTCTATTGCTTTTTATTGATCTCATCATGCACTGTTCAATTACTAAATCAAGCTAAAGACCAGCCCAATAGCAATTCGTGCGTCTGATACAATGGTAATCTGATTTACAGTACTGTTCATAAAGCCACGGGTGTTCTGAATTAAGTGAATGCATGGATTGAAAATATAACCGAACACTTTTCGTATAGTTTATATGCCCCGTTGCCGCAAATAAATTAAGCATAAGCCCTATGGCTTTCAGATGTTCTTGCCAGTTCCCAGTTCTCTCTACTCTAATGAATATTTTGATATTGCTAATGTATTCAATATATTGCAACCATTGCTTTGCTGTTCTGAATAAACTTGAAAGCTGCATTTTTAAATTTTCAACAAGATTTGTGAACTTTATAATTATACAGTATTGTTTGTGTCTTCCAAATCCGAATTTCCTTGGACCAGATCTTAATACATTTTTCTAGGAAAGAAGTGTCGACTTTACCTTTAGGGACCTGTCTAAAAAGTAGACTCGTCAAGGTGGATTCAACTAAGAAGTGAGCTTTTAGTGCTCTAGATACTGCTTCACTGGTCATTATATGCATTACCAAGTTGCTTGCATAAATAAGTTTGAGTAATCTATTCAGCCCTGATCCATCCATAATCATACAAATACTTTCTAGAAAGCTCATCAATGTGTGAAATCCTCCCAATCAAATAGCTATATTCAATTGTTTTAAATTTTGCAATTTCATAAGCTTTTAAATATAAAGACTGATCAAAGTTTACACCTGGAGGAGGAAATTTCATTGACTTTGCTTGATTCTGTATAAAAACTAGTGTAGAATAAATGCAGTTTGAAATGAACGAAATTTGCCAGAAAAGGTCCACACCGACAGAGAATGAAAAAGTCTGTGGCGACTGAAGCTCAACAATGGGCTCGAAGAGTATTTTTTTCAAAGCAGCTGTCAGGAGCGTTGTACCACAAAATCGGAATATTTATTTTATAGACTATTTCTGCTGCTGTTTAGTTTAAAACGCAATTAAAAAAAATATTTGTTTTCAGTCAGTTTTAATTACGTCTTGTTTCGTGAGCTACAAAGTTACAAAATTGAGGAAAAATATCTGTTTACAGATAATCAACATGCTTTTATGGCAGCTGGGGACGTTTTTTCGGTTTTTAAAAAGCGTTTAACTCAATTTGCTGCAACCTTTCTAGAATTAGTGAAAGACGGACAACCCAATAAAAAAGATTTCACAAATGTAAAGGTCCAACTAGTTTTGAAGATGCGACCTCAATTGAAACTTGCATTTATTAAATGAGTCTTTCAGAAACTGAAGAGAGCAGCCGTGGCGCAGTGGTAGCGCACTTGCTTCAGAAACGTAAGATCCGTGGTTCAAACCCCACCTCTGGGCAAGTTTTGCGACATCGGTTGGGAAGGAGGCGTGAAATTCCTATTAAATACTCTTCCGCGGTGCTCCGTGATAAAACCGTAAGGACTTCTTGGGGCACCTTAATCAATTTAAAAAAAAAAGAGAGCTTTGCTGACTATGTAGCAGGACGGCTGAAGAAAAAATGTGAGGGTGAACTAGTTTATGCTAAAGATAAACCTATACTAAACAATGAAGCTAAAGACTTTATTGAAGAGATTTCACGAGGATATTTAGAATTAGGGCTTGTTAGAATTGGGTTAGGCTTTATGAAAAAATAAACACAGAGCATGTTGAAGAAAAAGACTTATTACCATTATGTCTATAATGGTTACATATTATGATTTTGATAATCAAAAAATCTTTATGAGCATTTGGCAAATGTTCTTTTGCATGGAATTCATATAAAGACCAAGCAAAAAATTGTGGTTGGGGCCCTACAAGAAATTTTGCCATGGGCCACAAAATAGGTCTGTACAGTACTATATATATATGTATATATATATATATATAAATATATATATATATATATATATATATATATATATATATATATATATATATATATATATATATATATATATATATATATATATATATATATTCATATATATATATATATATATATATATATAAAGTTTAAAAAATATTTCACATTTCAATATAACCTTTTTAAAAAGTCAGTACAATAAAACAAAAGTTTTATTATATATTAACTTTTTAAAAAGGTTTTCTCATTGTTATTTTTACTTGTTATTAAATTTTTAATAATACTAACTTATATTCACTGTAAAATTATTTTAATGTTGGTTTTACTAAACATTTTTTTGGTTAAATTTAATTTTATAAGCGTTTAGTAAGATATATTGAATGGCTTTCGTTAGCTAAGTCAGAAAATTGAGTTTGCGCGTCTTGTCATATAGTATTCCTGAAAGTTTATTAAAAAATTTGTTTTAATGAACATTCAAATATTATTTTTAAATAATACATTTTCTAAAATTTTCTTGTTTAAGAAAATAAGAAAAAACCCTATAAAAATAGCAGGCATCAATTTGAAAAAGGAGAGAAACGAATTTGACTATATTTCCCAAAAAGTTGATACTTGTCAGGATATCTACATTCTCTTTATAGATCAGTCTCTTTATTAGTCCTTAATATCGGTTACCGGTCTTCAGTATACCGGTATTGGATGCCCTATTTAATATCATGCAACTAAAACTTTTGAAGTCATCAAATTTTCAACCGACTATATACGTACTATATTTGACTAGTGACTGTAACTTGTTATCAGTTAAAATTTTCCATATAGTGTTTTTGTATTTTTTGCTTCTTATTTTTATTAAACTTTTGATTGGTGTATAAATTATTAGATTTTGAATGTGTCAATATTCAATGGAGACCAGTGGGTCTGAGTGGGTCTCAAAAATTTCAACCTTGTAAATGTCCACCAAATTTCATGCACCAAGTTTCATGTTAAAAATGTCCACCAAGTTTCATGCTTTTATTTTTAAAAGCGCCAAGTTCGCATTACTTGACTATTAGCCGTTACTTAAATATTAAGCAAATATTATCCGAGCACATATATATATTTTTATAATATAGAACTCGTTTTATGATATAATACAAAAAGATGAAAAATAATAATAATAAATAATTTCTTATAACACAAACAGTACAAAAAGTTTTAATCGGTTTTAAGAAAAGTGATTTTGTTGTAAATTAATAAAAATTTGTATTAAAGAATTCAAATTGAAAAAAGTTCTGCCAAACTCGTTAGGATTTAAAACTTTACCTAAAATTGTTAGCATTTAAAATACCAACTAAAATTTGTGCTTTTCGAACACCAAAAAAAAAATTTAGTGCTCTAAAAAAATTCTCTTAAAGCAAAATTTCACCTAAAAACTAATATTCGAGGATCTTCAATGTACTTCTCAGCAAAAATGCGACCATCGGGTGTAGGATCTGAAAAGGCAATCTTGTTTTTACTGATGACACAGCCGTACAAAAAATTATGCCTAAAATCCAAAAAAGTTCAGTCATAAATTCTTTTATTCAAAAAGTCTAGCAAATCCTATTTTTTTAGTCTAATGATTTATGTGATTCCTTACCTTATACAATCAACAATTCTGGTTGCAATATTTTGGCGCCGATTCTGTGAAAACACCCATATACGACTAATACCGCAAACAGCTGGTACCGGCTCTATACTAAAAAGCATAATTATTACACAGTAATTTTTACACATTGTTTTATAAAACCTTCACATATTCTTTTTTACACTGCACTAAAACGCACGAGCAAAAATATATAACAGTAAAAAAAAATATCACGTTTAACACCACTAAAAAATATCTGGTATAACACCAAAAAAGTATTATTATGCACGACACTAAATAACCATCAATATTTCGTTTTTCTTTTAATTTATAAAAACGGTAAGCATGTCTAAAGCTCATTTCTAAAGTCTTTCTACTATTTTAAATTCAATTTTTTAATTTTCTCAAACTATAAAAATTTAGTATATAGTAATAAAAAAAAAAAAAAAAGAAAAAAAAAAAGAAACTAAAATGATAAAAGTTAAAAAAATTTATTTGCGAAATTTTTTAATTTTTTATTATGAGTTTTTTTTAATTTCTTAAAATTTTATATTTTTTGGAGTGATGATTTTTATTTCATCAATTACCAAAAAATATATAACAGTACAATTTTTTAAAAAACACAAAAATTTTTGTCTTCAAAGTTTAATTCACAAACTTTGGTTCAGAGAATTAAATATCAAAATTTTACGATTTTTAATTTTCAACTCAAACTAAGTTACTTTCCTTACTAGTAAGGTAAGTACTCAACACTGGTAAGGTAAGTACTTAACACTAGTAAGGTAAGTACTTAACACTAGTAAGGTAAGTACTTAACATTACAATTAAAAGAAAAATCATAGCATTATCATTAAAACGTAATTTTTTTTTACCTGCAACACCACGAGGTCGTCGGAGCTCCACAAGCACTTTCAGGATTTGAAATTTCGGTTGTGAGAATAATTGGAAAAGCCTAAAAATAATGCATACAAATAATGGATAACAAAATTTTTTGAATTATAAAAAGTTACATTTTTCTAATTACTTAATCAAAGACTTTTCACATTTAAGCCGCGTTCTTTGTATTAAATATGTATTTCAACATTTATTCTCTATACAGGGTGGCCACACTTTTTTTGTCTAAAAATATTAGGATAATTTAGGATAATATAGGAGATTTTTAAAGATTTTTAAGGAGATTTATCGAGAAATTTGAAAAAAAAAAAGGATAAAAATCTTAGGAGATTTTAGGAGGATTTCAAACATTAAGTGACACTAAAAAATTTTCATTTTATCTAAAAACTGTAAGAATGCCTAGTTAAAATAATGAAGATAAAATTAGGGCCCAAACACTGTTATTTAAAATAGTCTGACATCTCTACACATACAAAAATATTAACTTGAAACAAATCATACTTGCATTAGAAATTTAACAAGTTTAACATTGCACTAAAAAGATGACTATATGACTAAGCAACAAACAATAAATAATCAAAAATCATTAAAATACACAGCCAAACTAAACTTTGCTTAACATTATCCAGTCATAAAAAGAAATAATCAAATCAGAAAAACAAAACAATTGAAAAACTTAAACATCCAAATCTAAATCTCAGCTTTCTTGTCACTTTTACTTTTTTTGCTGCTGTAAATTTTTCTAGTAAGTCCTGCTTTTTAGAGGTAACTCTCTTTAGTGCATTAGATTTTAGAATTGTTGACTTTATTTCTATCAATGATTTCTGTTTTTTCACTTGCAATGCATACTCATCTGCATCATATCTGAGCTGAAGTATGGTATCTTCAAGAGTGTGAATTTGTTTATTATAACTAGTAATCTCTTTATTAAAATTTTTCAGTTTAGCATCACGGTCAATTTTTAAAGCATTCAGGGACTTCTCTTTCTGACTGCTAAAGTATAGTTTTTGTGCATCCTTGACATGTACCATAAGTTTAGTTGCCATTGACAATTGGGATTATTTTATATTTTCACTGGACATGTACAATTTTCTGTGCAAAAAGAGTATCAGTTAGCATATTATTATCCAGAAGTTGGTCGTTTATACTAAATCCACGCTCTACTTGTGCTTGGCCATGAAACAATATAGTAACAATAGGTAAATTTTCATTAAATCCTTGAATCTTGAAGCATCTGTATATTGAACCAAAAAAGAATCCAATCTATCACTTTCTTTATAGAACCCAAGAAATTTTTCCTTGTTCATTTTCACAACAGTAGTTAAAAATTGTGAATACTGTAATTTGGTTTGATCAACAACTGAAGGTGATATCTTTTTATAAGCAACTAATTTCAGCAATAACTAGTAAAAATAAAGTTCACACATCTCATGAGATTCAACCATCTGGCAAAGTATGAGTTTAGAGCACTTTTTTCAACCATATGTTTGCACATTGTAACTAAAAACTCTTGAACTTCTGTTTTAAAATTATAGATTTGTGCATAAGTAACTTTTTTTCTAGATTTTAGTTGTTGCAACTCATATTTTATTCTAAACCCAAGATCAATATTTGCAATCAACATTTGATTTTTGACATCACTATATCAACTTTTAATAATTTAAAAGTTGTGGATGCTTCAGACAAAACTTCTTTTTTGATAAATTTTGATAAAAATAGCCTCAGTAAATTCTCAAGTGTTTCCACAAGAAAAGATGTCATCGGATTGTCGGTTTGGAAAACTAACAAAAAAAATTTAACAGTTTTGCCGTTTCCTTAAAATATTGCAACTTTATAGGGACTAACACATCTTTATAGCATGAACAAAGGTATTCATAACTAGTATTTTGCCCAGGCTTACATTGACCAGATTGCTTGCTTTTTGGTAAATTTGTCCAAAAGTCAATAATCACAATAATCTTGGGCCATTTCCATAGCTCTTTTTGCTACTTTCTCATTTTCAATCCAACAATGGCTACATACTGTAGAGCATAATCTGAAGACTGAGCTTGAGTAAGATTTTCGAAATCAGCACGACAAGAAGGGCTCTCATGGAATATCTTATACAATGAAGACAGTAATTTGTTCAATTTCCATCCTGAATCATTTGTACCATTCTTGAATGAACAGTGCATTGTGTGAAGGCAGCATGATCCAATTGATACTAACTGACTGAGTTCACATTTACTTCTCTTAGCATTGAAATTAGAGAGGAAAGACATGTTAACATTTGGACCATCCATGGAAACCTGGAGCAATTTATCTTCTTCTAAACCACTCATACATTTACGGAAATTCATCATAATATCGACAGCAGCAGCTTTTCCCAAGAATTCAGAGTTGAAATATCTTGTTTTTACCAACTCTAATGAGGAGTCCCAATATCTAACATGCAAATCCATCTGACTTTTCTTGACAACTTGGTTACACGATTCATCATATTGGCAAACAAACTGATCAAGCTCTGATAATGTCTCACACAAAATTTCCTTAAAATATGGCACAAAAAGCATATAAGATAAATGCACTTTGTTTTCCCACAAGAAAATTGTTTAGCTATTTGACTATCACTAAACATTGCAGTAAATAATTCAGATTTGTTTGCACTTGATCGAAAAAGAATGTTTAGAAAGCACAACATCAACTGCCCACATTATCTCTACTTTCTTTGCTAACTGCAACTCTGCAATAAATACAATAGAAGCTGTGGAAACAGTAACACTTTTGGGCTAGTTGGTGGTTCTACAACAGTTTTCAATGCATATTTATCACAGACATACGTTGTTTGTGTTTGTTACCATTAGAATGTTTTTCCAATGCCTTTGTACCCAGACCTGCAACAGATATGATTTTCAAACATACCTTACATTTAACTGAACACAAATCGTTGGGACATTTTTGTACCCATTGTTTTTAATTATTGTCATTTAACCAATGATCTTGAGATTTAGTTTGACATTTTCTAATCTAAAAATACAAAAATATTTAGGTTGATTTAGTAAAATACAAATGTGAATCAAAATAATTTTAATTCCAAGAATTGCCACTTACAGAAATAAGAAAAAAGTAGAGCTAGAAATTAGAATAAAAAAGTGTTCTTTGGAAGTATGAAAACTTATGCTCCTGGTATTTAAAACTTTTTTTGCACATTATGGCAGTGTTAGAAAAAATAACAGAACACGATATTTTTTATAATAAACAGTTAAAAAAAATTATATATAATATATTAAATATATATGCATAAATAGATAAATAAATTAGTAAAATGAATATGTGAAAAAACTAAATTTTGTGAATATGCAAAAGCATGTTATAAAAAATTTTCAAAACTTATGCTGTTAAATATTACCCATGTTAACATGTTAAATTTACCATGTTAAATTTATATCGTTAAACAAATATAACTTAAGTATACACAGTGTACACCTTTGGCTTAACTGGTGGCTTAGTTACTGTTTGTATTTCTTTTTCACTCACAAGCATATATTGTTTATATCTTTACTCTTTAACATGTATTTTCAATGTGTTTGTATCTAGATCTGAAATAGACATAACCTTCAAACACATAGTACATATAACATTCAAAAATACATGTTTTTTTCATTAACATATATTTTCAATGTGTTTGTACCAGATCTGCAACATATAAAACTTTTAAACATACAGCAATCATAAAAGTTATATTTAAAAAATTCTGAATATATTTTGCAAAAAAAATTAAAAACAATGCAGAATAATTTATTTTATAAATTTAGCATTCGGCTGGTGGCTTTCTCAACTTTATGATAAGTGATAATTGAAAAAGTTAAAAAAAAAAGGTATTACAAAATTATATTTTTAGAAAAAAACTTATAGCAAAAAGAAGTATTTAAAAGATAGATATCCGGAAATAAAAAAAATCATCAAACATATCTAACATAATAACATAATACTTAACCAAATATAAATTTTTATATTTATTGTCTTTTAACCGCTTTTAAAATTTAGCTTTATATTTGACTGACATTTTCTTTTCTGAACATACAAAATTATTTTAGGTCAACTTAATTGAAATAAAGTTTTAATAAAAATAATTTTTATTAAAAAAAAGCTTAAATTTTATTAGAATAAAATTTTTAAATTATTAAAATATTACAAAAATATTAAATATTTGAGTAAACTATTTTCTGTCAGTAAACAACAGCACTAACCCCAAGTCTGATCCATTTCATTAAATTTATTGTTGATAATAGTTTATGCATTATACTCAGGATAAATAAATTAGGAGAATTTAGGAGTATTTGAGAAAATCACCTATACTTTAGGAGAAATTAGGTCTTTTTAGGTTTTTCAAATATAAGAACATTTTAGGATTTTTTAGGAGGCGTGGCCACCCTGTCTATATAATACACATTATTAATAATTAAATACATTTTCTCAACAAGAAAAGCAGAAAAACTCTCTCAAAAACAAACATTTTAGCTCAAACTTTTAGTTGTTTGCCACCAAATGCAAGATTTGGAATGATGCAAGTTGTAAAACAATTTTGAAGGATGTTAAATCCTTTCCATTTAAAACTTTATTCATTTTATCAAAACATTTTATCAATCAAAAACTAGATAGATAAAGTATTGCTATTTCAGAATTTTATATTTTACATTTATATAGCTATATATAATGTAAACTATATGTATAATTTACATAAATATTTACAGACATATATTGATTCTGAATTTCATCATCAAAAATTAATTTTATTTATAGATTTCTGGAAAACTCGATTAGATCTGAATATTTAGAATGCTGTAACATTCAAATATTGTAACATTTTCTGATGTAACGTACTTTACTAATTGGTAAAGCCACAGCATAGCCAACAATCTTCTTTGCAGATATGAACAAATAAACCTATGAAAATACAAAAGTATAGCATATTACTGTAAATAAATTACAGAATATCAATGATTTCTGAAAATTACAGAATTTCAAGGTTTTCTATAAATTCTATTAATGTGATAAAAACAGCTTAAAAAAAGTCAAGAAATAAAAAGAATAATAATGATATAATAAATTTTAATAAAAAAAGTATTTAAAATAAAATTTATGATTAAATTAAACAATCGTTTTGTCAAGCACTTGGTGAATAAAAAAAGTTTAACACATACATTATCTTATCAAAATATTGTTATAAAAAACATATACTAATAAGAAACATAAATTATTGGGATAAAAAACATATCTCATTAAAAAAAAAGAACTTGTTGGTAATTTACTCAAAATATCATTTTATAATCTTATAATCAATACCTTATATTTAATACTTAATAAGAATAACAATATGTTAAGATAATATTCACCTAAATATATATAAATATTTTCATAAATATAAATACCTGTTGGTCAGATGAGTTTGTATTTTGATTTTTAGTAAAACCAAGTTCTGTGTCTACAATATCTTTTATGTCCAACAGCTATAGTTAAAAAATAACTTATTTTGAGTTTTTTTTTTTTTTTAATATTTATTTAGGTAATAGAGTACATTAATTTTAACAAAAACACTGTTCATAATTATCAAAATGGTCATATTTTTTGATATAAGATATCAAAGTTTACTTTACTATTAGGAGAAAAACTGAAAACAATATCTACCTGAATTAAATGATATCTTCTTATTTATTAGGTTTACAAAAAAAAATAATATAAAGTTAGATTAGTTTATAATTTACTTGCCTTAGCTTATTCACCCTTAGCAACAATAACTGCCATATATTTTCTTGTCCTTCATTGTATAATAGATGACGTAGCTCAGATAAAGATTTTGCTACTTGTTTTTGATTATGTTCTATTATGTTTACATTTTTTTCTATATAAAGACTCCATAACTGTATTGCAAATTTTAAACGTAGCTGTATATAACTACGATACAGCAATTTAAATAGTTCACTATCTTTATACTTGAATGATTTGCAAATTATACTAAATTTATAGTTTGCAATAGATAATGCAATTTTGATTTGTGGTTCCCATTTTAAGTAATTTGAAATTAATATGCCTAGATCCCTTCTCAATTTAGTTGTAATTAATTCTTGCTTTATATTATTCTTAGTCATGAAATATTTATAATTTTTATTTTACTACCAATATGTATGATTTTACATTTTGCAAAATTAAATTGCATTTTCCAGTTTATTACCCATTTTTCAAACATAGCAATGTCATTTTGTAAAGCATCTGCATTTGTTTCATTATTAACTTCAGCTATTACTTTACAATCATCTGCATACAACAACAACTGGTTTGTAAGTTTACTTGGAAAATCATTGATGTATTTTAAAATTAAAATTGGACCAATCACAGAACCTTGTGGTACACAGCTTATGTCCACCTATGATGTTACACTTTCTCCAAGTACAATTCTTTGCTTCCTATCAGTTAAAAAAGAAATTATCCACTTCAATGATGTAGATGTAATGTCATATGCTTCAAGTTTTAATGCTAACTTTCTATGTGAAACTTTGTCAAAAGCTTTTTTGAAATCAGTACAAACGATATCGAATGATTTACCATTAGCAACAACTGTAGCTACTATATCCATGTACTCTAGGAGATTAGTTGTGCAACTTTTACCTTTTGTAAAACCATGCTAATTAGAAACCATGATGATTAGAAAATAATAAATTGTTAGTCTTTAAATAATGTAAGCGTTGGATATTAAACATTTTAAAGTTTTAGAAAGGATTGAAGTCAATGAAACTGGTCTATAATTTTAAACTTCATTTCTACTGCCATTTTTAAACAACAGCGCTATGTTTGCTGTCTTCCATAAAATAGGTACTACATTTTTGTAAATTGATTTGTTAAATAATAAAGTTAATGGACAAGAAAAAGCATTTACACATTTTTTTAATACAAAAGGGTGAATTCCATCTGACCCAACAGATTTTCTTGGATTTATAGTATCTATCATTTTAATAACTTCAGTTGAGGTAATACTAATAAATTGTAGAGAATTAAAACACTTTATTTCAATGTTTGGTAAAATATTGTTGTTACTCTTGAGTTTTTAATACAAGGGTGGGTGGGGGTGGGCGGGGGTAGGGATGGGTGGGGTGATAATAGAAGGTGGGGGGAAATTTCAATCTAGATCTATTAAACGAGGTGGGATTTTAATAAAAGGATAAATGGTGGTGAAATGTTTTATTTTACAATACAAGTATTTTTTATAAAAAATTTCAGTTTATAAATTCAAACTAATATTTTTTACAAAACAACCATAAAACTATTTTATTCTAGCGTGGTTTGCAGTCAAATGCACACTTTCTAACAGCTGTTTTATAATAATTAAATAGGATATACGCTGATATAAGTTGGTGAGAAATAAACCAAAAGCTTGTTTTAGACCAATCAAGGTTTACTCAGCAATTTTTACACTGAAAGTTTATGTTTTTATCAGTGACTGAAACAATTATTTTCTAATTTCTAGGACTGATTTTCACTGATTTTTTTTGTTGTTGTTGTTGATAACAAGTAAAAATTAATAAATGGGGGTGTCTTAATAAGCTTGGGGTGAGTGGGAAAATTTTCTAAAAATTAATAAAGGTTTCCCCCCCCTCTTTTTATTAAGGATTCAAGAGTATCTCCTATAAATACTTATTGAATATATTCATTCAAAGTATCAGCAAAGTATCTGCTTTTGGTCCATAAAGATACATCCATTAGAATCTTCAATTGATGTTAAATAATTTTTAATTTTTGTTTTCTGTTGATATAATTATGCAGCAATTTTGGGTCTGATTTTCTTTTTTTAGCTATGTTTTTTTCTGTAGCTTTTTTAACTTTTTTATACACATATCTATATTGGGACTTTTTTAAACTGTCTTACCATAAAGAGAATTTATTGATAGACCAAAGTTTATTTTTCTTTTTGATATCATTTATAATCTCTTTATTAAGGCTTGTAAATGTAACCTACTAAAATCTTTTCGATTCCAAAATTTAGACAAGCCCAAACTTTTTCAGTATCTATACAGTTAATAGTTGGCAGTGCGACTTTATATGAGTTTATTTAATTGAATTGCAACCCCTCCTCTGATTTTTCCATTTTCCATTGGTAAGATCACAACAATATAATACATAATTTTTTATGTACCAGAAAGTTTATTAAACCAAGTTTCAGAAATGCAGATCGAAAATTTGCCTTGATGGTGTAACACAATTGACATATTTTATTATTTAAGGAAGTGGCATTAGTATAAAAATAATTTAAGTCAGATTTAAAGTCTAGTTTAAATTTATTTTTTGGTGGCACTATGTTTTTAATCGAGGGATATTTATTTTAAAAATTTTTAACAGACTCATCTAACAGATAAACGTAAATAAACTTAATAGATTGTTTTATATTGTTTGAGCAAGGATAATTACAAAATTTTGCTTGTTGGAAATTTGATAATGCTGTTATTCCGAATCCCATATCTATATTCTTTCATGTTTTTATTATCTACGTAATTATTAAGTCGATTAGGTTCATCTATTGTTTGAAAAAATGTTGTTGAGTTGGCATTAAATCATAGTTTCTATATTTTTGAAGTAATTACTTTTTCAGCTTTACTGTTTTAATTACTGCAATGCAATCATTTTTGTGTTAAAATTCCACTAATATCGGGCTAGGATTTTTATTTCTTGTATTTTTTTTTAAACGATAAATTCTTCCAATTTAAGGCCAAGGCCAAATTTTTAAGGCCAATGTTAAATTTTCAGCGCCAATCTCCTCAAATACCTTTAAAACAGCCACTTTATCATCCAATTCTTTTTCATTAATATCAAGTTTGTTCGATATAACAACATTTTTTTCTTTACATTTTATATCATTTTGTTCAACTGCCATTGCACTAATAACATCAACTGCAGGGACATTAGGTTTGTTTTCCATTTTAAAAAGGCTACTAAAACTTTTTATTGGATTTTCTTCTGATATTGTAGAGTTTTTTTCTAAAATCTCAACCTTTTTCTTTAATGCATTGTTTCCAACTTCAACTAAACTTAATTTAATCTCCAAAATTTTAATCTTCTCTTGATGTTCTTCGATGATATCTTCTTGCAACTTTTCTACTTATTATTCGACTTGTTTCATTAACTCAGCAAATTCAGTTTTTTGAACCATTTTTTTGAACCAAGTGAATACAATATACAAATTTCCAGATTTTTTTTTAATAGTAAAAACACATCCACTAACTAGGTAACATGCGTGCTTCTCTTCGTATATATATATATATATATATATATATATATATATATATATATATATATATATATATATATATATATATATATATATATATATATATATATATATATATATATATATATATATACATATATATATATATATAATCAACAATAATAAAAATAAGATCGACAAACTGTTTGATATAGCACATGCTGACACAATGACTCTCATCAAATTTCTCTTTATTTCTGACTGATCAGTGCACACATAGAAAGGCCCACATAGCTGATGTGCATGATCTTCTGGCATAAAAGCAAGAACGTTGGTTACAAACAGAAGATCTTAGAAGAAAACCAGCAGCATCAGAAGGAGAAGCGTAATAACAAATGCATTATAGTGTCATCATTTTCTTTCCTTGTGGGAAAAATAAGTTGTACTATTTCCAACAACAAGTTTGCTACTACAGAAGAAATTCTTGAGTACTTTCTGAGGAAATCTACTTTCTGAGGAAATCTAGACCTGAAGTTAAACTGAGTTTTATTGTTGGATGCCCAAACGAAAGTGGATCTTTCTCACCAAACTGCCTTACCAGTCAGTTACATTGCTGCATAATATCTAAGCCTGTTGTTGCGTGAACACATGGTGGCTTTGAAGTATTACAACCCAGAAGCTAAGGTAATAATAGATAAAACTTTATAACTTATGAAAGTTATAAAGTTTTATCTAAAATATATTTTCAAGCACTTAATAATAATAATTTCATTTTATAGGATAAAGGTAGAAAAAATGGTGAAGGACTAGATGAAGCTGAAAAGCTCAAGTAAAAGAAACAACCCTGTTGAAGTAAAAAAGATAAAAAACTTCATTGAAAATATGAGTAAGGTTTTCTGGATTGGAGAAAACCCAATAAATATGATTGAAAAAATAAGGAAAGTTGGATTGAGAAACCAAAATGACAAAGAGAAAGACATAGCTTTCCTTTAAGACCAGTTAAAGGAAAGGAAAACAAGGTTAGGGGGTTTGGATATAAGATTTCAGTACTCAATGAAAAGAAAGCATAAACCTAAATGTAATTATACTAAGTTGGAAAATGTATCTGATGCAGATTCTGAAACTTCATTAAGTTCTTTTAATACCAATAAAAGTATTTCAACTGATAGTGATTTTGAAATTAAGACACATTGATTCTAGTTCTGTCAATCTATCCAAGGATATCTTGCACCGTACTGCACACACAGCAGTTGGAGAGGGTTTAACTCTACATCAACACACAGCGATTCTTAGCAGTATTATAGTCAATTCTGGAGGATGCATGTCTGATTTTGTATGCTCAAACTCATCTTCATACAGAGCAGCAGAGTACACTATTTATGGGTGCAAATGAAATCAGAGACCATATAAAAAGAATTTCTAAATCTTCAAATTCTCTAATAACAATTCATTTTGATGGAAAAATTGTCAAAGAACTTACTGAAGGAAAACAGTTTTCAAAAGATAGGTTAGCTGTTCTTGCTAGGATTAAAGGACAAACCGAATTACTTGGAGTTCCAGCTATTGACTCCGGTTCTGGAGAACACCAAAAAGAAGCTTTAGAAGAGCTCATTTTTATCTTTGGATTAGATGATAAAGTTCAATGTCTTTGCTTTGATACCACTAGCGCTAACACAGGTAAAATAAAAGGAGCTTGTAGCAGAATAATTATGCGCTTACAGCGCCCTATGCTGTTAACTGCATGTCGATGTCATATTTGTGAGCGCCATGTTACCCATTTTTGGGAGCTTTATCCAAGCAGTCATACTTCAGGGCCAGAAAATTAATCAAATTTCTTAAAAACCATTGGAACGATCTAGATACTGAAAAGCAAGATTTAAAAAGATTATCAACTCCGATTGGTTCCTGGATTAATGAACAAAAGCTGAATGCAATTCAATTTTGCAGCTATATAATTAGCGCTAAAGTTTTTAAAAAGGTGAGAGTAATAAATAGTTTTATTAAAATCTTTATAAATAATTCAATTAAATTTAATTATTTCTTACAATTTCGAAAAAATAATAGAGTAAAATAGTACTTCACATATAATTTTCCAGTTTTATCTGAACTTTAATTTTGTTCTAAGTTATTTAAGTTATCATTAATTGTTAATAAATATTGTTTAGGATGGAAAGTATTGTAAAGATTATCAAGAACTGGCTGAACTTACTTTGATGGTACTATCACACACCGACAGATTCAAACTTCACAATCTTGGGGCTGTTCATCATGTCAGATTTATAAGTAAAAGTTTATTTACTTAAAACTATTTCTACTAATAGAAAAAATTCCTGAAATCAATGAAGAGAGTAGGGATGAAATCATAGAAATTACAAAGTTTCTTTCTATTTTTTACACTGAGTGGTTTCTCAGAGCCGAGTTAATAAAACTGTTAAGACGAAGAAAAAACTATTTATATTATAAAACCATAAAAGGTATAAAAATAGTAAGGTAAAGATAAAACTACTTCACTCTAAACCTTTTTGCAAAAACAAATTGTAGAAGCTTTTAATTTTAAAATTATTTACATTTAGACTTTTGAGAAGTGCAGAGGTTATTGTGAACTTGTGGAAAAAAATCAGACCATTAAGTGAAAATTAACAAATATGGAGCTGTTTCACACACCTTGATTTTCATGAAATCTAAGTTGCATTTCTAAAATTAGGCAGGTTTTTGTTTTGAGTAATAAAATACTCAAAGAGATCAGTCTGACTACATTTCTCTCTGCAGGGCATCGCAGTTTTTGACCTAAGACTTTTCTGATTCTGCAACTTTTAAAATAAAACCTAGTTTCATAAGTTGATATTTTAGTCTGATTTAAGAACAATTTATGTCATTAAGTAACAAATTATTGTATTATAAAAACAATGGTTTGAAAAATGGTCTAAAATCAAATGAAAAATACAAAGTAAAATAACTCTAGACTAATTTTTTTTTCCAATAAAAAATTCAATTTTGCTGTGCTTATACTAAAATTTATTCAAGATAATGTAGACCGTGTGATAAGCTTGGAGAAGCTTCAGAAGCTACTTTAAATGAGGAGTTCTTGTAAAAAACCTTTAAAAAAGAAGAAGAGTGGATTCAAGGAGCTAGCTACAGCAACTGCCTTCTCGCTTTCTCGTCATTAATTGGTTCTAACAATTTGAATTTTGATCTAACTACAATACTTAACTACAAACTCTGAACATTAAGAGTACATTTAAAAATTATCTTTTTACATATTTTCTTGAGATATTTGTCTTTAGCAGAAAATGTATATGTATATAAATATTTATTGCACATTTGCAGCGTTTCAATGCTGAATTGTGAAGCAAATTTGCTTTAGAAACAAGAAATCTGTGGCAGTGACGGATCCAGCATTTTTTATGTGTTTAAGATAGCTAACAGACATAGCGCAAACTTTAAATATTTGTGTGTTATACTTATGTCAAACAATGATGCTTTTTAAAAAGTTACAATAATTGGAGGCTGGGAACAAAAAAGCACTGCCATTTAATCCCTCCTGCCCTAAACATAATAGCAACAAGTTGATGAAATAATTTTTTATGCCATTTTTAACTAAATTTATATTCATCAATAAATTTTAAGTATTGTTTTACTATCTCTAAGCGTTCAAAAATTATGACCATATAAAATTTGTAACCCCCTCAAATTGAGGGGGTTTAAACTTTATATGGTCATAATTTATGAATTTTTTTATCATTAAATAAATTTTTATATATAAACTTATAGTGTTTTAAAATTGAATTAAATATGATATTTAAGGGTTAAAAAACTTGTCAGCAATAAGTAAAAAAAAACTTATTTATATCAATAGCTCGATAGCTAACTTATTATTTATATTGATAGCTCGATAGCTTTAAATGAGCAACTTGTTTAGCTCTCAAATTTCAGTCAAATAGAATGTTAGTTAAAAGAACAGTTAAAAGAAATTTATTTTAGAATATATTTGTTGCAATATTCTATTTTAAAACTGGTTTGAAGAAGCAACAACAGTATTGAAGAGCAGAGTGAGATTCACCACACGAGGGCGGCTAGTAAATTTAAACTACAAATTTAAATATCTAACAAATTTTTTACTTTAAAATTAAAAATCTAATTATTGTTGTATTTGTAAATTTTGTGTTTTTTAATTAAACTTTTGCATTTGGGATAGCTCAGATGGTTAGAGCGTTAAAGGAAAAGTTAAAACCCGGACTGTTGAACAATACGAGTTCATATCCCGCCATTGCCAACTCAGCGCTTGAGTTGCTAGTACTTCCGTACGCAAAAATGTTGGTCAATAACGGACGCTACTTTGGATTAGTCTTAATGACTATTTGTGGCTGTTCCTATGCTAAACCAACAATATCTTCGGATATAAGAACATTGTATAGAAAAATATAGCATGAAAACTCAAATAAATAAAAAAAAAAATTAAAAAAAAAAGAAAAAAATTTGTTAATGAAATTTTGCTAATAGAATTATAACATAAAAAATATATATTTCAATGTAAGTTTCATTTTAGATTTTTGTTATTGTTTTTGTTGTTACTTTTGTTGTACTTTAGAATTTTATTGTTGTTATTGTTGTTGTTACTTTTGTTGTACTTTACCAGCAAATTTAGTTTTGCAACAGTTTTTTTAATTCCCTTAATAAAAAAATGTTAATACTTATTTTTAAGTATATTATTTATTATTATACGAAGATTTTAGTAACTTGCCTTATAATAACAGCAGTAAAAATCTAAATGAAGAGTTTTTGAATAACAAATATAAATAAAAAACAATATAATAAAAGCAATGAAAAATCTAAATTATGGAACAACTAAAGGCAATTAAAAAAAATGAATGAATTTTGAATGTCCTTACTTGTTAATGACAAAGCTTTTTTTCTCTTTTTTTTCCTCCACAAAAACCATTGTTATTGATCAACTTAATTCATTTCTTTGTTGTGCATACTAATTACATTTTCAACATGTCTTGCATAACACTTTAAATATTTTAAATAAGCCTTATATAGGTTGGACTTATATTATTATATTATCATTATATCATGATGGAGCCTTATTTTTTTTTACCATTATTTTTTGAACTTTTGGGAATTTTTTAACAATTGGTATAAAATAGGAATTTTTTCTCTTGGGAATTTTTTCAGAAACAATATAGATAATGTTCTTTATAAAAAAGATTTAATTAGAGTGCAACAACATAAAACCTAATTGATCACTTTGGTCCACACAGACTTTTAACAATAATCTTAATTTTATTAAAAAAATTAGCTGATAAATATTTTATTATTAACAGAATGGAGGAACAGAAAACCTTTTTTTGATGTAAGTGATTGTCACTGCTCTTAACCAATATGATACGCCCATCGTAAAATTCTTGCACCACTCGTTCATTTTTCCAACCCTAAAAAAATTTAAAAAGATAAATTATCAGCAACCAAGGTTTAAAGAAGATAGTTTTAGAGAATTTCAGAAATTCAGGATTTTTTTTTGTCCAAATCAAAAAAATTCAAAAACATTTTTTTTGTACCAAACTGAGTCATTTAGGCTTACAGCATTAGTAGCATGGGTACTAACAGCATGAAATAGCTGGAAAATAATGCATTGTTCTAACTTTTTTAAACTTAAGACTTTATTTTTTTGAGCAAGATCCTTAATATTGCAAGAAATTCAAATAACCTACTGTATGGAATATAAAAGTTGAATTAACTTTAAATTGAACATTATTTAAGAATTAATTTTTATCATTTAAAAATTTAAAAAAATTTTTAATATTAATTCTTATGCTAGTTAATATTTTTTATAAATTTCAGCTTAAACATAGTTTAGTTTAAACATAATTTTAGTTTAAACATAGTTTAGTTTGAACTATATTTAAACTCATTTTTATAAATTTTTTATCTGAAAGGTAACTTTGGCAATGAAACAGTATTATCTCGTGATTAGTTCAATTAAAAATAAAAAATAGAATTTCTTAGTTGAATTTCCTCAAAAACTAATTATGTTAAACTTTATAATTTACATTCATTCAATAAAGCAATTATACAAAGTTACATTATAAATATAAAACTAGTTTTTACTTTCCAATTCCAGTAATTGATATAAAAATTTAAGTTGAAGGAAGGCCACAGAGCAATCATTTTTTTATAAGTTACACCTTTTTTACAAGTTGTAAGACTTCATCTTCATTAAAAACATTTTACTCCACCTCATAGTTGTTTAAAAGTGTTAAAACCTAAAGCATGAAAAACAGATCAACTTAAAACTTAATAACTAACTCACTGGAAATTTTAGCTTTTGCACAAGCTTCTCGTGATATTTTGCATGTTGAGTTTCATCATCCACTTGTGATTTTGTATAAACCATGCCACAAATTGTGCAAGTAACATGCCCAAAATTTTTTTGACCCAAATCCTACAGGTTATAAAATTATTATAAGCAGTAGTCATATTTGCAGATTGTATTTAATGAAAATTATTCATAGTTTATTTTATGAAAAATAAAGTATGAATAGAAATACTTTAAACTAAACATTTACCTACAAGTAAACAAGAAAATTGGGTAAATCAGCAAAACTCAAGGACAATAAGTTTCTATGATTACATACATTATTCTTACAATCGATCACAGGAGGCCAAAGATACATAAACTTAAATTGTTTACATATATGGACAGGTCACAAAGAAACATTTTAGAAATAGCATAATTTTTTTTATTATTATTTTGTATCTACTTTTAGAATAATGCTGATTTTTTTTAGCACATAATGACAGCCTGGTTGGTCCCACTGTTTTGAAATATTTAGTTATAAATTTTAGCAGGTAAAAGAAAGCTTTTTTTATTTTCTTGTTGTTTGTATAAGTTGTTTTGATTTGTTACTAATGTTATCAAATTTTAAATTAAAAATCTTAATGAATTTTTTTCAGTTTAATTATATTTAACAAGATAGCTACTATTTAAAATTAAAAATAGATACAATATATAGACATAATAAATACCATATATAGACATAATAAATAACATGTATAGACATAATAGATACCATATAAAACATAATAGATACCATATAAAGACATAAAAGATACCATATAAAGACATAAAAGATACCATATAAAGAAAAGAAAAATTTTTAAAAAGTATAAATAAAAATAGAATTTTTAAACTTTAAAAAGCATTTCAAGAATGATAGAGTATATTAAAAGTCAACAAAATGTAAAAGAATGCACAAAATAGAAGTTTAATTTAAAAAGTAATATTTTAAGAAAATGTTCTAAAATGTTGGCCAAAAAACCAAAAGAAATATTTAGTTACAGAAAAATGAAAAAAAAAAAAAAGCAATAATGGTATTATATTGTCAAAGTTTCATTGTGATTTTTGACTGTTAAATAGAATACTGAAAGAGTAAATTCACCAGGTCTTCTTGAAGCTCAATTTTAAAATCTTATAAATTTATTGATTTAAAATAATTAAAAGAACTATACACTACTAGGACAATACCAATTATTAGCAATTGTTTTTTCTCTAGTTTATTACTGAACCTGCTTTTCTCAACAACAAATTAGACTTTGTATTTTCTGCCAACCCTGATCACATTTTTAATATTGTTGTTGGGCCTGCTGTTTGCTGTACAGGCGCTTATTGATGGATGAGGCAGCATGTTGTTTTGTATGAAGTTTGTTCTTATATGATTGATGTGTTGAGTGGTGTGTTCTAAGGCTCTATCATTAGACCACTTTTGTTTCTTATTTTTATCAATGATATACCAGAACTTGTCAGAAGTTATGGTAAATTGTTTGCTGATGGTAGTCAACTAGTTACCTAATTAAAAAAGAGTACATGAATTTGTCCATGTATAGACTGACATAGATTCTTTAAGTGAGTAGTCTAAATTGTAGTGTATGGATTTCAGCATTAGCAAGTGTAAAGTTTTATGGAAGATCATTATACCTCAATGACTCTTTTTACATGGTAGATAATAATGGAAATTATATTCAATTAGAGAATGTCTGCGTTGAAAGAACACTAGGAATTTATATATAACACTAAGCTCAAAAAGACTGACCAAATAAACCAAGCAACACTAAAGGCTAATATGGTTTTAGAAATGCTCAAGAGAACCTTTAAAAAATGCAATATGTGTATGTTTCTCAAACTCTATATATCTTATGTTTGTCCTCTGCTTAAATACTGCGCATTAAACAGCTTGAACAAGTACAGATGCATTACAGCCGCAGTTGTGGAATCTGAGTTATAAATCATGTCTAGCTAAGTTGGGTTTAACAACTTCATATGAATATAGAATAAGAGGCCACTTGATCCAAAATTTTAAAATTTCTTAGAACTTTAATATAGTTAAGCGGCAAAATCTCAGTCTATTAACAGCCAATAGCCTAGTTGGTGGTCTACACGGTGCGAAGTCCATAGAGAGATTTCTAGGAATTCAGCCAGACATAAATTTTTAAGCAATTGTGCAGTGCCTTATTAAAATAGTTATCAGATTTCAGTGTTGCTTTAAAGCCGGTTGACCAATTCATAACTAACTATAAAAAATGGATTAATTCAATTTTTCGTTTGTCTACTATAACTGGGTCTTGATAGATTCTATGCTCATAGAAGTTTCAAACTTTTATTGTAGAATAACATTAAATTAGTTATAAAGAAGATAGTAGAACAAATAAATAAAAAATACTGGCTGTATATGAAGTTAATAATATATAAAAAGTTATTATACGTATATATAAAGTTAATATATGAATATAAAGTTAACAATCGCTGGTTGTGGCTGATTATTATTTAAGTTTTGAGACAACAGATAAAATCTTGGCTAAAATGTCTAAAAAAAATTAAATGAAATATGAAATTATCAAATTATTACATATTATAAATTTACATTTAAAAAGTAATATCTGCTACCCCCAACCACTTAAATAATAAAACCTATTAAAGTTTTTATTTAAAAATAAAATATCAATCATTCTTCTCATCTTGTGCAAAAAAGCAAACAATATTCTAAAAACAAGTGTCAAGGGGTACCAAAAATTCTTTTATAGAGTTCCTGAAATAATTATAATATACAAATTATTTTTTGTATTTTTGGACCACTTTTTTTTGAAATAGAAACCAATAAATTTCTTGTTATATTTTAAAAAATAATTTTGTTGTTTTTAAAATATCTTTTGCATACTTAGCTTGGCATAAATTCATCATACTGAAATGGGGAGTTGCTAGGGCTTTAGTACATACTAAGATTTTGGACAGGTTTCATCTGGGTACAAAGGACTTTTAATTCAGCAAAAAAAAAATGTTTTTTTTTTCTTTCTTACTTTTCTAAAAAACTTTAAATTTAAGTCAGCATTTTTAAACTTAAAGTGTATATTAGGACAGTGGTATGTATTTTGTATTTTATAATGTATATTAGGACAGTGGTAATTGCAAGAATAACAATATAAATAATATAAATAACAATAAAAAAATAATAATAGTAACAATAATTATAATTAATATATTAAAGATAAAATGATGACTAACTATGTAAGTTTGTTCTTTTCCAGAATTATTAGTTGTACATTTCTTTAGAGTAAGCTTTTTAGATAAACTTTTACGCTTTTCTCCAGGTGATAGCTGTAGGTCAAATGGCGTGAAGGTACTAATTCAAAAAATTAAAAAAAAAAATATCAAAATAAAAATACTATATTTGTAAAATTTCAAACTTGCACACATATTTTTATAATCTAATAAAAAATATATGTAAATTTATACTAATTCTACAAACATTTGAGTGTTTTCAGTTTTGCAAGGTTTAAGTAGAACTTGGTGGAATAATTTAGCTGAATAATCAAGATTTTTGTTATTGGAATGAGAATTAGGTGATGATTGACTAATTTCTTTAGCTGGAGCTGAAGATTGATTAAAATAACTGGATATTGTTCTTTGTTTGGATTTTAATTTGCTTGAAGACAATGAGTTTGATTCCTCATTTTTAAAGTTGTTATTACAATAGATAGATGTTTTTTTTGAATACAGGCTTTTATCACAATTTAAATTATTTGCTATAGGTGATAAAGATACAACAGCAATATTGCTTTCATTAACTACAACTAAAGTTTTTTCAGAATCTGAATCCTTAGTACTTAAAGAGTGAGAAGAAGATTTTCTGACAGGTGAAGATATATCAATAGTTTCATGAATGTTAGCCAATGTAGGACAAATACAACACTCTTTTTCTGGATATTTTTCTGTTTTGGAACTTTTGTCAGAGACATACTCAGAAACTGGTAGATTTTCTGTTAAAGTTTGTAATTCAGGCCTTGTAAAAAGACTACTGTTTTCATCATACTTCTGAATAGGATCAAAGTATTTAATTAATCTGGGCTTTTTACTTCCATAAAATAAGTTTGGGGGTCTAGCTTTCATACTATTTTTATCATGTTTCAATAATTTCAGCTCCATGGATACTTCCCAATTTACTTCATTCTGCTGTGTAATTTAATTTTATAGTTTAAAATTGAGTAACTATAAAAAAAAAAAAATAACTATAAAAAAAGAGTAAATAATAACTAAATATTTTTACAAATGATCTTTTCTAAAAATAAAATAAAAAAGTTAAATAAACTATAATGTGTAATAATAGTTACAAAAAGTTTTAAACTAATAAAAAGTAGTTCTTGCATTTACTTGTACATTTACTTACATTATTTAGACGTTTTAATATTTTAATTTTATTAAACAAGATTATTTTACACTTTTTATAAAGTATATATATAAAAAAATAAACAGAAAAACTCCAATATAAATGCTCTTCATATATATATATATATATAATATATATATATATATATATATATATATATATATATATATATATATATATATATATATATATATATATATATATATATATATATATATATATATATATATATATATATATATTGTACTTGCCAAATCCAAGCATATTATGAATCCACCAGAAACAAGTACGTATCTGGTGGATTCACAACACGCTTGGATTTGGCAACACTTATTTTGTGGATTAACAATACACTTGGATTTCACAATACTTTATTGAGCTATGTGCAATTTGGTTTGGACTTGAAATTAAAAGATTTATACTCCAATGCATGCCCAATTTATTGCTAAACCTATCTATTATCTCTCCTTCCTTTTTAAATTCTACAATTTCCGAAGATTCCTCCTTGTCCACTCGACTTGGAGTTATTTACTGCTATGTTTTTCTATTTCTTATTGGTCTTTATGGAGCTTGGTTTATTATAACACCAATGGCAAGCTCTCTAACACAAGAATTGCAAGGTATAATTAAATAAAAAAAAACATTTGCCAAATGTATGTAAAAAAGAAGTATGAAAGTTTTTTTCATACTTAGATTTTTGTAATTTATGTCTAAGCATAAAATTCTAAACTCTTTAGCAGATCAAAAAAAAAGAAGCCATTGCTACAAACTTCTTCTTTTCTTTAATATCAATTAAATAGGTTTAATGAAATATTTTAGAAACCAAAAATTGCCCAAAATATTTTTTAACAATGATGCAAAGAATATCTTATATATAAATCAGTACCTCAAATATAAATTTGGAATCTATTTAATAGATCCTGAACTTATATTCAAGTTCTGTTAGTATAAATAATACAGCAAAAAGCAATAAAAAACTTTCTCAGGATATTTTGAATTTTATCATGGATAAAAAAGCAAAGTAATCTTATCTCTCTCTCTCTCTCTCTCTCTCTCTCTCTCTCTCTATATATATATATATATATATATATATATATATATATATATATATATATATATATATATATATATATATATATATATATATATATATATATATATATATATATATATATATATGTGCATATATTTGTGTGTATGTGTATATATATATACACATAATATATATACATACATACATACATATATATATATATATATATATATATATATATATATATATATATATATATATATATATATATATAATATATATATACATATATATATATTTATTTATATAAACATATTAATATATATATATATATATTTCTGTATATATATAATATATATACATATATATATATATATATATATATATATATATATATATATATATATATATATATATATATATATATATATATATATATATATATTTACATATATATAAATACCATATATTTCAACGGACTTAATCAGCAAAATTTTAATCCGCAAACAAGATAATTTCACTTTTTTTTAAAATGCATAATTTTATTTTTCGTAATGATTTTAAATACATAAATAGGAAAAAATAACAATAAAATCCATGTAAGTGCATATAAGGGCATATTGAATGTTGCTTCTCCACAGTTTGGTTTACTGGAGTTATCAAGTTTGCAGATTAAGCTGTTGACACATATACATACATACATACATACATATATATATATATATATATATATATATATATATATATATATATATATATATATATATATATATATATATATATATATATATATATATATATGTATATATATATATATATATATATATATATATATATATATATATATATATATATATATATATATATATATATATATATTAAAAAAAAAATACACACTCACATAACATTATACCAAAGATAGTTGTGATTCTAAGCATAGATGCATACAAAATGTTATTAAAAAAAGAAAACTTTATTCAATCTTTTATCAATTAGTAACACTTTTTCTAAAATAAATAATGAAAAATTCTTTAAAAAAAATTTTTCAATATTTCGAAAATCATGCAGTTGCATCACAAATAAAAAACTAACAATTTTGATATAAGGAAATAATCTATTTTATGAATCCATATCAATCATATGGATCCATATGATTATCCAACTGATATTATCATTTCTTATATATAAAATTATTATATACTATTTATTATCATTTATTATATAACTATTATGTATCATTCAATAAATTAATATATTTTTACATATTTTAATGCGGTAGTGGTGTAGTGGTAGAGCGCTCGCTTCATAAACAAGTGGTTCCGAGTTCGATCCCCACCACGTCCCTGGTAGTACCGCGCTCAACTCGTTTCTCCGCGCAGCGGCCTTGTTTGTCAAGGTTCGTGTTTCGGAGTTATAGAGTTGAGAGAGGGTTATAGCCACAAAATAAGTAGCCTCCTCGTCTGTAGTGGCCTTCTCGTCCTTGAGGAGGTGAAGTAAAATAAAAAAATAAAAAAAAAAAAACTTATATAACTGCATATATATACAATAGTGAGAAACAAATACAAACAGTTACAAGCTGATGAGGCATAAGGACCTACACTGGTATAAAGCAATTATTGTTAATTTATAGTAATAATAAAACTAATAAAAAATACTAATAAAATTGGCAGTAGTAATAATAATAATTATAAAAATAACAGTAATAGTTTACAACAATAATACTAATTAAAATGATAATCTTAATTATAAAGATAACAATACCTAAACAATAATAAAAAGAGCATAGTGGGTGATAGTTTAATACAACGTAATACATATATATGATATATATGCATTACATTGAATTAAATAAACACATATAAATAAGTATATATATTTCAGGTTGTCTGCCAAAAACTTAATGTGGATTTCCTTATTTTTCCCTGATCGTGATTCTCGTTTTCCTGATCGTCAACCCCTTTTTCCTGATTTTTATTTCAGTTATTATGAGCTTTTCCAGACTTGAAAAGGATTGGGGAAAAATACATCGAAAAATCATGTACAGTTAAAAATAAAGCATTATTATTACATTTATCAAAGTATTGTTAGTATGTTGTCATTGTTATTATTGTTATTAAAGTACATTTAAAATTTAGTCAAAGTAAAACTTAAACTAAAATAAATAATATATTTTTAAATATATATATAAATATCTATATAAATTTAGATTTTACTGTATATAAATAATAAACTAATATTTAAAATTTCATAGTTCTTTACTTTTGATAAGTAATAAATTAATTGTTTTATCTAATTTTTAAATCTCTTGTTTCTTCTTTTTTCTTTCTTAAAGAATAACTTTTGCATCAATAGCATAAGTATGAGCTTTTTCAGCATCATCTGCAGCTTTCCCAATAATTGCTTCTGAATCACTTTTTTTTCACTTTTTCCGGAATAACCTTTTTAGATTTTAAATCCTATACGTCTATAGCAAGTAAATCACTTTTTCGCTTTTGAGCATCTGTAAGGTCAGTTTCTTTACAAGCAACTATTTCAATTATTTGTTAACTCTGTGATTTTTTGAGAGATTCACTCAGTTCCTTAGAGATAACTATAGGTTCCCAGTTTATTTTTTGCCATTTTTTTATTGCACATTATTTTGGGGTCAAAACATTTTACATTCTACACAATGGCATATATTAAAGGCAATTTTCCACAAACTTACATGTCAACAACTATAGAGAACATATGCAACTGTAGTTAAAAACATAAATATCTTTTGGATATTTATATTTTCAGAGGTTTTGGATATTTATGTTTTCAGAGGTTATTTGCAGTTTTACATTGATGTAAAATATTAGCTATAATAAACTTTGAAATTATGTCTTTTAATAGTCAATAAAGGTTGTCATATAAAAATGATATCATAGATTTAGCATATTGATATAAGGTTAAAATAAATTGCATATTATGAGCTATATGAGCAATGAGTACCACAAAAAAGGAGGGGAAATTAATTACTTTCAGTCACAACAGTAAAGTCTTCCCATCTGGCAAAAGAATCATGGAAAAGTTTATAAAGAGCTTTCAAAATTTTTTTAATACCCCAGTCTGTTATGCAAAAGATCTCTACTAGTCTAAATAATGAGTACAAAATGGCTTACAACACTAACTAACAACAAGATCCATCTGTCCCATATGAACAACTGAATTAAGACTTTCATTGAAATAAACAGCATAAAAGTCTGACTTATCTATATCTCTAATAGAAACTGATTGAAAAGAAGTTATTCCAAAATTTATATAATATGAGAACTTGTCTTTTTAAAGAAAGAACTTATCAGCTATAGCAATGTAAAGAAACATTGATTTAAACAAAATCGAAAGTCCATCACTAGAACGAAAAGAAAATAATAGCATTAACAACCGAATCTGACACAACATACAACTGAAGAGTGGAAACTTGAACTATGTTTTCTGACAAAGTGGTTGTTATAACATGTATATTTTTTGAAACATCGGTAAATGAAATACATGTCATTTTCAAGTGAAGAGAGAGACAAACGTTCACAATGCTTCTTTCCTGTTGAATGACTTATTAACTCTCTCTGGACAATATTAGACAGTTCAATTATACTTCTTGGATGTGGACAAACTACACTTTGCTGAGGTATTTATATTCCCACACATTAACCATGTTTTATTTTCTGGTATTTGTAACCACTGATCATCAAAATATTTTAGGTTCATTATTTAATTTACCTAAACTTGTTCTAGTCTAAAGAAAATAGAAACAACTGACTAATAACATCAATGGTTATCTACTACCTAGTTAGTAATAGTTAGTTATTAAAAGCTAGCTACTAATCAAGCTCAAAAAAATAAATGCTTTTCTTAGAGTAAAAAAAGAGTGTTAAAAAAAAGACTCATAATTAAAAAGTTTCTGAAATAAGATAAAAATAAAATAATAAAAATTATTGATTTTTCCCTGATTTTTCTAAAATTTGATTTAATTTCCCTGAATTTCCCATGATTTTTTTGAAGACATCTAAATTCCCTTACTTTTTCTGGCAGACACCCTATTATACATACACACATTTACATATTCTTATACACACAGACATATATACACACAAGGCATACATGCATATAAATATACAAACAGATTCATACATGCATAAAAATATGAGACAGAAGAATAAAGAGTAGAAAGAAAAGGTAACTGAATAGGTTTAAAAAAGGGGAAAACTTAAAACTGTAATAATTTAAAAAATAGTAAAAATTAATTAAAAATATAAGACAGTAATAATGATGTGTTAGAACTTTATTGAGTGTTTTTATTGAGAATAAATTTTTTTGATATAGGCAATGAAAGCATTTCTAGCAATATTTGGAAGATTTATTTTTATTTATAGAACCTTTTACTGACAATAACACCTATTATTTAGAGGATTTAAAGAACTGTTGCTTATTTTTGAAGAAAAATCAGAGTATATTAAAGTCCTGATGGAAAGCACATCAATATATATATATATATATATATATATATATATATATATATATATATATATATATATATATATATATATATATATAATATATATATATATATATATATATATATATATATATATATATATATATATATATATATATATATATATATATATATTTACTTCCTTAATTATAAATTGAAAATTAACTAATGATTAACTTCAATTATTGTGATTAGTAGAAACCAGTAAAAATACTTATTATTATTAAAATGTTATTTCTTTTAATGTTAAGCTGCCTAAAACAATTTTATTTTTTTGTTTGTTGCGTCAGTGTAGACTTTTAAAACAAGGATTATTTAATGGAATAATTAAAGAAAAAAGACTGCTGTCACATGTTAAACTAATAGCAGACTATAAAATAGTCGATGTATGTACTGAAGCCAATGAATATTCCTTAAGTTTAATAAGTCTACTCTCACGAATGCGCAATAAGCAAAAAATAAAAGTATTATAGGTTTCTTGGAGTTTTATAAAAAATTGTCTCAAAAATTATAACTTTTTTTCAAAAAAAGTAAACTTTTGAAACAGTTTTAAATAAACACTTTAATACAAAATCAAAAGAATAAATTATTGGCCAGGTAAAAGGAATGTTAAGTTTTTAAAATGGTTAAATAATATGCAAATTGGTTTTAATGGTTAAATAATATGCAAATTATATGCAAATTATTTACCAACAAATTTGCGAGACCACAATTATTAGAAATTTTCGCGGTATATAGCTTATCCTTATACACTCCTTGAAACGAGGCTGCGCTTACTAAAATGTAAACAAACCCACGTTTTTCAAAAATAGCGGTAAATAAATCAAAATCAAATAACAACATAAAGAATTTCTTTTTTTTCTTTTGATATTCATTTATATTAATTAAAAACCATAATATTATTAACTTCAATAATAAAAACATTATTATTATTATTTATAATAGAAATTATAGGAATTTAGAACCCTGATAGACTAGGCAAGGCGCGATGAGGGGTATGACCCCCCCCCCCCCACTAATGATATTTTCGTTCATTTAGTCAGCAATTTTGACCTTTTTTGACTAGTTAGTTGGCAAATGTAGACCCTTTCGACAATTTAGTCGGTAAATTTAGACAGTCAGTTGGCAAATGTTATTATGGCAGTCGGCAAATTTTAAATAAGGAGGACCTTTTTTTTGTTTGTTTAATTCGGGAAAAGTTGTAATGGCACCGCCCCCCCTCCACGTGACACCTACTCGCGCCGGCCCTGCTGATAGATAAAATTAAATCAGTTTTAGTAAAGAATAAAATATTTACAATAGCCTAAGACTTATACCGGTTTTTACATCCAATCATTTAAAACAATCATGACAACCATTTAAAACAACCATGTTATTCATTTAAAACACCGCGACAATCAATTAAAACAATGTGATTTTCAATTAAAACAATCGTGATTTTTAATTAAAATCTATATTATTTTTTAAAAAAGGTCTTTTTTATATATTTATTT